TTGGTGCATGCAGTTTGGCACCCCTTTAAGTTGTGGAGCAATGCTATGGAATCATGGGAATTGTGGTTTGATAAGGCACAATTTCTCTTTGGCAGAGAATGCCGAAGAGCATGTAGAACATATTAACTGCTATATTACAGGCCTCCAAAGAGAAGAAGCAAGGGAATGTGAATACAAGAGCTCTAGGAGTGAATGGTTTTCAATGGTTCACTTGGGGCAAGGCCAGTAATGCTATGGTTATGTGCATTGAAGTTATTTCTGATTTGTGACACACTAAGATCAGGGCTTCATGAACATTTCATGTGTCGTTGTAGGTTTTTTCGGGCTATATGGCCATGTTCTAGAGGCATTCTCTCCTGACATTTCGCCTGCATCTATGGCAAGCATCCCCAGAGGTATGCTTGCCATAGATGCAGGCGAAACATCAGGAGAGAATGCCTCTAGAACAGTGGTTCTCAACCTGGGGTCCCCAGATGTTTTTGGCCTACAATTCCCGGAAATCCTAACAGTTGGTAAACTGGCTGGGATTTCTGGGAGTTGTAGGCCAAAAACATCTGGGGACCCCAGGTTGAGAACCACTGCTCTAGAACATGGCCATATAGCCCAAAAAAACCTACAACAACCCAGTGATTCCTGCCATGAAAACCTTCGACAATACATTTCATGTGTCATTTTGCAACACAGTAATTCAGTCAAACAAGCAAACCAGAGGTTAAACCAGGCATGGGCAAACTTCAGCCCTCCAGATGTTTTAGACTCCAACTCCCACAATTCCTAGGCTGTTAGGAATTGTAAGAGTTGATGTCCAAAACATCTGAAGGGCCCAAGTTTGCCCATGCCAGGGTTAAACCAACCCCTCACAAGAGTTACGGATGCATAAAAAATTGTGATCATGAAATAGCCTCTCTCATGAAAACTTTCTATCTATATTTTTGAAAAGACACAATTACTTTATTAATGCATTGTCAAAGGCTTTCACAGCCAGAATCACTGGAGTGTTGTGTGGTTTCTGGTGTTATGGACGTGTTCTAGCAGCATTTTTTCTTGATATTTTGCCTGCATCTGTGACTGGCATCTTCGGAGGTTCTGATAGTGGTAAAGCAAGTGGATTATTTTGCTTGTTTCATATAGGTTCATAAGGTTCTTGTTAGACGTGCATCTACACACTCGCAGCTGACACGTGTCACGACATGAGTTCGGAAAGCTTGCAGCTGACTTGGTCCTTTCATTATTGGCTGCTACTTTCCGACTGATGTCAGGTGGTGCAATGCCAGCTAAATGGAAAAGGCAATGGGAAAAAGAATAGAATCAATCAATGAAACCATGGTCCGGAATCTGCAAGACCAGATCTGGGAAGTTGATGAATGCAGGTGTATTGATACTTAATAAGTTTGACAGCACTTTAACAGCCAAGGTTCAATCCTATGGAATCCTGGCAGTTATAGTTTTGTGAGGCACCAGCACACTTGGGCAGAAAAGGCTAAAGACCTTGTAACGCTACAACCTCCATGCTCTCATAGCATAAAGCCATGGCAGTTAAAGTGGTGTCAAACTGCATTAATAGTACAGTGAAGATGCAGCCCGAAGCTCTTGGCGCTCTCTGTTGTGAAGGAATGCATGCTTGACTTGGAAGCAAATCACAAAGTTCAGCAGTATCTGCCCGTATCTGAATGCGGAATGATGCAATGACAATTGGAACAGCCTCAGACTACGATATTGGATTACATGATTTTAATAATTGTTTTTAATGTTTGAGGTGTTTTTAGCAGTTGTTTTAAATGTATATGTTTATTTTGTTGGATGTACGTTTGTGTGGCATCAAATTGTGCCGCTCTGAGTCCTCTTCAGGGTGAGAAGGATGGGGTATAAATATGGCAAATAAAGAAATGAGATTATTTTCCTTCAGCTCTAATTGCCAATTGCAAAGACTTTTGGGTTCTTCCCTACTTCGTTAATTTTTTAAAAAAAGTATTTCAATAATCTGTATTATTTTAGTCAAGGCCTTTGTTCTGAGAGAAGGCTGATTTCAAGCTATTCAGTAAAATGCAGAAACCTGATTCGATGATCGCAATGGAAACCATTCCTGAACAGGAGTCATCCATAATGAATATATTTTCTTATTAATCCATATTTCAGTTTAACTTGGGCGCATGGCAAGTTCCATCCTCAGGGAACCCAGAACTTATTTATTTATTTTACAAGAGAAGGTGATGAGCTTTGATCTCCGGGGAATTAAATTGTGAAAACAATCTTGGCTTCATCCATGCAAATATAGATCTGCTATTCCCTTCCCGCGTCTATTGCAAGATGTTTTAAATTGTGGCTGATCTTTTATGCAAATAGCTGTCTTATTAGACATTGCGGCTGTATGTGCTAATGTCTCCGTGGGTTTCTTGGGAGTTTGCTATCTAACCATCAAAGCGGTTGGAATGAATGATGATTACTGCACAGCTTTGAAGAACAAAGAAAAGTCACAGCCATTTTAGAGGTCCTGGCGTTGGAAAATCAGTGACAGCTTCAGCCACACAGACATCCAGGAAGGGCTCCGTGGCTCATATTAACTAGGCAAAACTTTTTTTTTAAATGAAATTATTCTTCATTCTCTGGTTTATTGGCCGCAACAAAAGTGAAATACTTTTTTCACTGCTGACATTTTGTGGCAAAACATTACAAGTCTATTGAAACTGCAAATGGCAAATTAAATAAAGCGACTTCTTTGAGTGAACTGGATGGTAGGCATAAAAGTTTATCCCATAGCTTTACAAAGTTAGGTAGTGCATTCCTTCTTTGTTTCTTCTCTCTCATCTGGAATATGATGTGCCAAAGATTAGGCAAAATGTTCTCATTGTCTTAATTTTCTTTTTTTTATGGACCAGTATGGCACTGTCTTCTCTGTATTACCTGTATCAGTTTTATATTCCTTTTAGTGCTGTAAGTTCCTACACAGAATCCTGGAGACTGTACTTTGATGAAGAAGCTAAGACTTCTAAAGCACTTTTTTGACATTTCCATGTTTTCTTTAGAAAGTGGGGGGAATATAAGTCTTTTAATCAATAATGAATATAAGAATGTAAATCTCTAGTTATTATTTTCGCAGACCTCACTTTCCCCACATCTGCTGTTGAGTAGAGTTGTGTATGGATCCATTTTTAGCCATTTCCTTTGGCCAATCTGTCTCCTGCAGTTTGTTTGGGTGCATGAATCGACAAGGCCCCAGCCGTTATGGATTGCCCTCCGTAACAGGACCACCTGGCAGCCGATCTAGGCCTCTCCTCCCCTATTCGGCACCACAGTTTAATCTTTTTTATTAATCCCAGCAAACAAAAAGAAAACCCCCATTCCCTGAAAACTACTACCAGTTACCTCTCCTCTAGAGTAGAAAAAAAAAAATAGAAATAGAATCATAGAATTAGAAAAGACCTCATGGGCCACCTGGTCCAACTCCCTGCCAAGAAGCAGGAAATGGCTGTAAGGAAGCATTAAATCCAAAACAGAAAGGAGATCAAAACGTGCCAGGAAAAAGAGGGATTTTTAAAGGATGCCCAGGAAGGATAGCTCCAGGAGGTCATCATTCTTCCTTACCTGGAAGTCGGAAGCCTCCTTAAAATACTTTGGAAAGAGTGTGTGGTGTTGTGCAGGCCCAGGAGAGAAAGTGCGCATGCTTGCCTGCAGCATCTCTCCTCTAGAGTAGAAACAGCTTAAATACCTAAAATGACGGTAAGGAAGCCTCCCCCCAATAATGGGACGGATAGAAAATGAATCTTTCTGCATCCGAGAGCGAAAACAGATATATGCACTCTCAAATTTGGGAGGCTCATGAAAAACAGATCAGGGCCCCCACCAAAATCCGGGACACTGAAATGGATCGTGGTTTACCCAGAATGCACATGCCTAGCCTATAGGCATGTGCCACAGGTAGCAATGGGTACAGCTGTGTCATATGGAATTTGCTTGCACACAGAAGCCTTGGTTGCATAAAGAGGGCTGGGTGGGATAGACTCCTTGGCCACTAGCCAGTGGAGGACACTTGCCCATCCACACTCAGTTCCTAGCGTGGAAGTGGGAAAAGAGGTGCACAAGGAACAGGGCATGGTACAGTGGGGGAAAAAGTATTTAGTTAGATACCAGTTGTACATGTTTTCCCACTTAAAAAGATGAGAGAGGCCTGGAATTGACATCATAGGTAGACCTCAACTATGAGAGATAACATGAAAAAACATCCAGAAAATCACATTGTCTGATTTTTAACTAACTTATTTGCAAATTATGGTGGAAAATAAGTATTTGGTCCATAACAAAAGTTCATCTCAATACTTTGTTATATATCCTTTATTGGCAATGACAGAGGTCAAATGTTTTCTGTAAGTCCTCACAAGGTTGGCCCACATTGTTGCTAGTATGTTGGCCCATTCCTCCATGCAGATCTCCTCAAGAGCAGTGATGTTTTAGGGCTGTCTCTGGGCAACACGTACTTTCAATTCCCTCCAAAGGTTTTCTATAGGGTTGAGATCTGGAGACTGGCTAGGCCACACCAGGATCTTGAAATGCTTCTTATGAAGCCACTCCTTTGTTGCCCTGGTGGTGTGCTTGGGATTATTGTCATACTGAAAGTCCCAGCCACATTTCATCTTCAGTGCCCTTGCTGATGGAAGGAGGTTTGCACTCAAAATCACACAATACATGGTCCCATTCATTCTTTGATGTATAAAGATCAGTTGCCCTGGTCCCTTTACAGAGAAACAGCCCCAAAGCATAATGTTGCCACCTCCATGCTTCACAGTAGGTATGGTGTTCTTTGGATGCAACTCAGCATTCTTTCATCTCCAAACACGACGAGTTGTGTTTCTGCCAAACAGTTCTACTTTGGTTTCATCTGACCATTTGACATTCTTCCAATACTCTTCTGGATCTCTAGCAAACTTCAGTCGGCCCTGGACATGTACTGGCTTAAAAACGATCACTGACATTGTTAAACTACTCTTTCTTTTTTTCTTTTACAGAGTTTTTGAATACGGAAACATGGGTAGAAAAGATGCTTCTTCTGCAAGGATACCTGTTGATCAGTACAGAAAACAAATAGGTAAAAATTGTTTCTTGGATCTTCCTGTACAATATAGTCTTGACTTCTTCGTAAATTATTCATGAATTTTATACATTCCACAAGAAAAGACAGTGAGCACTAAAGCTAGCTATTTATAACCATCTATCAAAGTATTCAGACTCTTTCCTCACTGAAGTATGCTTTTAAAGCAGGACTGGAGAACCTGTTGGCCTCCAGATGATGTTGGATTCCAGCTCCAACCAACCTCTGCAAAAAGAAGGCATGCTGGGACATGTAGTTCAACATCATCTGGAGGGTCACAAGTTCACTATGCATACAGATAGTTGTGCACTGTGAACTCAACTTATAAGGGTAGTTTAAAAGTGTAGTGTAATGCCAGAAATACAAGTCTTCCAGGTAAGAAGAGTGAATGTTTATAAGATATATGTCTACGAAGTTAGTCTTGAGTGAAGACTTCTTGAATCATGAGTTGTATGAATGTAGGCCGACTTTGGGCATATGATCAAGTGAATATGTGATTATATGCAGCTCTAGCACAAAGGCTGTGACAGTTAAAATATTTCACTGGAGAATCAGGAGGTGTTACTCTTGCGGAGCTATACAACTTTGGACTGGAGATGATGACTACTATACCATATACCAAAGCACTCGTATTAAACAAGCGTGGTATAGAGAAGTCTAAGCATAGTTTTAAATGTGTAGGAAGCTATTTCATGTAACAAAGTCCATACTTTGGTAAACTCTCCCAGTTTGCAGAGTTGAGGTCCAAACGAGCCTAGATCAGGAAAGAGTACAGTGTGACTTGGAGCTTGAAATGCACTCAGTGCAGTAGAAGGTAGGTGATACAACACTTCTGCCCTATAATCCAGTTTCTGAATCCAGATTATTCTAGATTTGGAACCTTAGCTCAAAACAGATAATCTGGATTCAGAAACTAGATTATATGGCTCTGTAGATTGGGCCTAAGTTTAATGGTAGGCTAGAACTAGTATTTGTGCCATTAAATTGGTTTTACACAAGTGCTTTTCTGTAGCTCCCAACTCTGTGACCCTTCAACTGGGAAACTAAATTTTCATCTGAAACTAAATACATTATAATCTTCTTCAGCTGGATGGGTGAATCTAGTGAATCCACAGACACGCATCGAATACTAGATTTTCTTCTCATAAGGTTGTCTTCAATTGCTTAAGGCAATTGAATGTTCTTCTGATTCCTCAAAAAGAAAAAAATGTCTCTCAGATGGTATTTTGTACATCTTTTTGCTATATCCTTTCCTTTGTATGGGCTATAAAACCACTCTTTAACTTTCTACCATGAATAAATTGTGGGGGGAAAGACTCAAAATAAGACTTTCTTTTATTCTTGCTTTATTTCAGGGACCTCAGCAACCATGGGATGCAGTTTGTAGAACTGCATCTGGCACATGGTTTGCTTCATTTCCCTTTATTCTTTGTGGCAGATAATGGATCCTAAAGTTTTTCCTGCCCAATCATCCAGTTTGCTATAACTGCATTTAATCTTTTTGAAATAATTTTTGCATGTGACTTTTCTGCTACAGTAACATAATTAAGAGTGGAGGAAATTGGTTTCTAAAGTTGTAGTTTTGTATTGGTCTGTTTTATCGCATTGTCATGCCAATTGTTCTGTTGTGTGCCTTGGGTTTGTAAAGTTTCTTGAGCTTGTGTATTTTCTCCTTCACAGTTTTTCTTGAGCTTGTGTATTTTCTCCTTCACAAACTTGTGTTTAACCATTTATCAATTTTCCAAGGGTTTTCATATCTCTTTGTGAATTCTGGAGCCTCATGATCTTGTTCCCAAAAAAAGCAACCGAAAAAAATATTATTACTATTATATTTATTTGTATTTATTTGTATCCTGCTTTATTTTTCCTAAAAGAGACCCAAACAACAGTTAAACTCACAAGCATTTTTTTGCACCTGGATATGGGGTATTTTGAAATTCATAGATGATTTTGCAGCCCTTGTCAATTTCACATCTATCATAATGGACTTCTCTGGATTGAAGCATATCAGTTTCAGACTTTCCGTTTACAATCTTTGTAGGTCTTCTTCACCTCATTGTGACTCTACTTGCTTCTAATTTTTATTTCTCAGAGTAGTGGCAGTGTGTTCAAAATTTTTGATGTGTTGTTTTCCTTAATGGAAACTTCACTGCATAAAAGCTATGACTGTTTACACTAGCAGAACATCAGCATTCACAAAGAAGATTGAGACGAGAGAATTCCTGTAACTCGTTTTAGACAATTTTGTTCACACACCAACTTCTAGAAGATAGTATCTGTATCTTCCTAATACTTGGAAACAGAAATAGCAATGCTCTACGAACAAGGATTACATGATGGCCATGCTAATGACTTAGGCCTTGGAAAAATAGCATTCCCTTGTAGCCTGGCACCTTGGATGCTGTGTTGCAATATTTAAGGTACCAACAAAGGACAGAAGAATTTTAATGCGAATTGAAGAAGAGCTTTCAAAGCAGTCAGCACTTCCATCATATTTCTGCAAGCACTATGAGCTCTCCAAATTCAAATGCTCAGAAAAGTAATTGTTGACTGAAATAATGACCAGTGACACAGCTGATCAGAAAACATATATTTCAACATAACATCAGTCTGCTGTCATGAAATTGAGAAGAGGTGTGACTACAAACCACATTCATCTTATTGTTTTTTGCTTTTGTCAGTGGATGCCAAATGACAAATACATAAATGCTTTTGTGGAACAAGAAATGAAAAAGCCTGAAGTGAAGTGAAGGCGGCTTTTAACATTCCAGTGTTAAAACACATGTAGAATTTCACTCCAAAGTGGTACCCAGCCTTCAACATGTTTTGGGGAGCTGATCATGTCAATGGTAAAAAGGGCACAAATGGTTTCGTATGTACACAGTACAATGTAATCAATGGACTTTGTTGTATGTAGAGAGAATCTGCTCTATATTGCACCAGAGCATTGATCTTTCTAATCTAGTATAGCTGGCATCTACTTTTTGAGTTTCAGGGTTTTTTCAAATCTGCCTGCAGATGCTAAATTATGAACTTGGACCTGTTGTTGTTTATTCGTTCAGTCGCTTCCGACTCTTCGTGACCTCATGGACCAACCAACGCCAGAGCTCCCTGTTAGCCATCACCAGCCCCAGCTCCTTCAAAGTCAAGCCAGTCACTTCAAGGATACCATCCATCCATCTTGCCCTTGGTCAGCCTCTCTTCCTTTTTCCTTCCATTTTCCCCAGCATCATTGTCATCTCTAAGATTTCCTGTCTTCTCATTATGTGGCCAAAGTACTTGGACCTGCTTTATGCAAATACAGTATTCTGCCACTGTACTATAGCCCCTGTCATGGCTTGTGAATCACTATTAAAATTATATTACATAATTAATTTGAACAGGGAAGAGGAAGGAGAAGCAAAGCTAGTTGCGCTCAACCTCTGGTCTTCCTTAACCAATATTTGCAAGATACCTAGTGTTGGGACGCAGGTGATGGCTCTAAGTACAAGTTGAGAGTTTTTTCTTTCTCTCTTTTCCTCTCAGTTCCAGGAGAAGCAACACCGAATCTCTATCCCTGGCCCGTCCTGTCCACTTCTAATGCTTTCACCTGTATCTATCAATATAACAGCCTGTTTGCCAGCTGTCTTGGGGTGGTCCCTTAGGACCCAAAGTGTGAGATTTTAAATACCTCCGTAGTCAATCAATTGGTAATTGATTAGTTAATTGATTGGTGTAGGAATCACACTAAATAAAATGAAGGAAAGCTTCTACTGTCAGGAATTTATCATCGTAAGCACAAATTCATACTCATTAACTACTAAGAATTGATTTCCAGACAGCTAAGACTCGTCTATAATCCCATGCTTAAAGTAAAGGAAGTTCTCTCTATGAACTCTTCTTCATCACTCTTCTTCAGTTAAGCAGGCATGTTATTTACTCAGAAGCTGATTAAGCACAATGATATATATGTAATCATCCTGAAAACCACTACTGGTATCAACAGGTGTTCTAAAAAGTAAACTGAAGAGCCTATTGCAAACTGTGAATATTTTATTTCTCTTACCACCAGAATTTTAATTTGAACTTGCTATGTGTACAGATGCAAAAAAAAAAAGGCTTTATTGTTGTTGTTGTTTTTAAAGAAATTGTCTCTTTTTCTTGCATTAACAAAGTGCTGCTTCCTTCCATTTGCTATGACTGACCCACTAAGATGCGTTGATCAATTGTGTCAAAAGCTGCTGAAATATCCAGGAAAAGCAAGAGAATAGCACTCATCTTACCTTTTCCCTGTAGCAGAATGTCATTCAGAACAACTGAGGGTGTCTTGATATCGTACCGTGGCCTAAAGCTTCAATGAAATGTATCCATATCTGAATGTCTGAAGCTGCTCAGCTATCACAAGTTTTAAAACCTGCCCAAACACAAGACGTTAATGATAGGGTAGTAGTTCTTTAATGAATGGTACAAATCTTATGAACCAGTTCAGGTTTTAAGATCAGCTGGGGAGGCCCTCCTCTCAGTCCCACCCCCATCGCAAGTAAGGCAGGTGGGGATGAGGGAGAGGTCCATCTTAATAGTGGACCCTGACTCTGGAACACCCTCCCCAGGGAGATTAGACAAGCAACCACCCTCATGACTTTTAAACAGGTTTTTGGCAGTAATTAGTTAACACCCCCTTAATGTGGACAAGGTCTTTATTATATTCTTCGACTCTGGTATTTTGGCTTTTATTTAACTTATAGGGATCGCTGTGTTTTAAGTAATGTTTTATACTGCCTATTATTGAATATGTTTATTTTGTTTTGCTTTGTCTTTATATTGATTTGTCATGTTATTATCTGGTTTATTTTTTACTTTTCATATATTATTCATTGCATTTATTTATATTGCAAGCCGCCCAAGTCCTTTTGAGAAGATGGGGCTGGGTATCAATAAAATCTATTATTACTACTATAATTACATATTTGTACAAAATGCATATATTATATACATTAGAAATATCATAAAGAAATATC